CTCCTCCTCCCCAACCACCCGCCCCACCTACCCCGCATTCTCGCGCAATGATGTACAAGTGGTCCGGTATTCTTCAATCTTCCCATAAATTTTAATGTAGCCCACACGCGCAGGCTATTGACAGCATGCATGATTTCGAGTTGGTGTAGGCTTACCACATTTTGTTAATCAAAAAGAAAATATGGTAATCAAACCAAGGCCCGAGCATATATATACACATGTTGATCTGAATATCTCGCAGGCCATATAATAATAATATGTTTATCGAAATAGGAATGTGACAAAAGTTACTCCCACAAGTAAAGGGTTAGCCTGTTTAAATTATTCGAGTGGGCCTGGGCATGGGCCTCTTTGGCCCAGGTATGTTGCAAGACCACTTTTTTCTTCCAAGAAAAAACAAAAACAAAACAGAAACTGTTTCTGAATTGGTTTCGATTCAATTTATTTCCGAAGATGGATTCTAATTTTTAGATATGATTTTGTTACTCTATTGGCAATTCTGCAAGGGAAACATTTTCTGGAAAAGAATGATTTCTAAATCCAGATCTCGACCCATATCTTGATCATGTAGGTCAAGAGAGAGCACCAAACCAAGTTCCGTTTGAAATCGAGGAACTGGATTCTATTCCTATCCAATCTGGCAGTCTCAGTGAATGTTGGTCATCGTCAAAGAAACATGGCGGCTTCCGTAGTATGAGAACCTCAGCTGTTTCCAGACAACGGGTTTCGCGTATATTTTACAGTTATCTTTTAGTATTATTATTGAACTTCCTCTCTTGTGTTTTAATCTTGAAGTCATGGTTCTAACGAATCAGAAGGCCTACGACATTTTGGGTCTCCCAGCAGGTAAATGGCTATTTCACATCTGGCTGAGACTGAGAGTAGAGTATGATGAATTTTATTTACAATGAATTGTCCCTCCTAGTCAGTTTTAGCCTTCTAGAATCTACCCACATTCTCCCACTCAAAAAACAAGACAAAATTTACGTCTAGAATCTAGATCTAGAATCTATTAAGGTTAACTTCTTTACTTTTTAAAAATATTTTTTACTCTTCACAGCCTGGAAGTATTGCAAGGGGGAGAAATTCCGGTGATCTTGTAGTTCCGTTTGTTAAAGTCCACGATCCATCTGTTTACATCCAGAGAAGAAATCCAGAAGTCTTGAAGACCAAATACTATTTGAATTAGGCTACACAAAGAGCAGGAATGCAACCTAACTGCAAAGAAAGTGGCTATTCTCACCCGCCGGAAGTTCTCGCAAGATCAACTCCTCCCCTCTTTTCTCTCTCTCTGTCTCTTTCTGAATACTGTCTGTCGGTGTGGACGATCAAATTGACCAAAACAAAGTTAAAAAATGATGTTAAAACACAAACGTAAATTAATTTGGTTGTCTACAAAGATGCTACGGCTATTTAACTTTTCGAATTGAGCCGAACTACGCGGGTCGCCATTTTGTTTTGCCCGGAAATTCTCGCGCTACTCCTCTCTCTCTTTCTCTCTCTCTCTCCACTGCCCAGACAAAATTGTACGCTTTTAGTAGGCTACAGTTGTAATGGAACGTTTGTTCACGGCACAGAATTCTACAATTTTTCTGTTATCACAGTGTAGAATTCTGTGGTTTAGGGTGAACGCAAAACTTGGTGAACGCGCACCGGGTGAGAATAGCCAACAAGACTCGCCTGCACTATTCTCACTCCGGGTGAGAATAGAGGTGGCCAACTGCAAAACATCAAATTAGGATAAAATTCTGGGGGGCATGCCCCCCTGAACCCCCCCTCCCCCACCTCTATATTTTTATTAGGTCAGGGGGGCAAGCCCCCCTGAAACCCCCTACTCTTGACTTTAACGAACGAAACTACAAAATCGCCGAAATTCCTCCTGACTCCACCATGGCCACCTCCTCACCTGGGTGAGAATAGTGCAGGCTAGTCTTTTGGTTATTCTCACCCGGTGTGCGTTCACCATTGTTATAGCCTAGATCTAATCTAGGCCAACCAATTTTGCTTTCACCCTAAACCACAGAATTCTACACTGTGATAACAGAAAAATTGTAGAATTCGGGTGCCGAATTCTGTGCTGTGAACAAACGTTCCATTACTACTGTTAGCCTACTAAAAGCGTACAATTTTGTCTGTGGACAGTGGAGAGAGAGAAAGAGAGAGAGAGAGAGGAGTAGCGCGAGAACTTCCGGGCAAAACAAAATGGCGACACGCGTAGTTCCGCTCGATTCGAAAAGTTAAATAGCCGTAGCATCTTTGTAGACGACCAAATTACTTTTTTGTGTTTTAATATCATTTTAAAACTTTGTTTTGGTCAATTTGATCGTCCACACCGATAGACAGTATTCAGAAAGAGATCGAGAGAGAAGAGGGGAGGAGTAGATCTTGCGAGAACTTCCGGGCAAAACAAAATGGCGATCCCGTAGTTCGGCTCGATTCGAAAAGTGAAATAGCCATAGCATCTTCTTTGTAGTCAATAAAATTAGCTTACTTTTGTGCTGTAACGTAATCTTTTCTTTGCCTTTATCCATTTGATAATCCACATCGATAGAAAGTATTCCGAACTTAGGAAAAACAGGTCTTGTTTCACACTGGGTGAAAATAGTCTACAGTGGCAAGTCTCACCCGGGGTGAGAGGTCGATCGTATTTCTATTCTCACCCCGGGTGAGAATAGCCACTTCCTGACTCCATATTCATATTCAGTGACACTATTATTCAGTATGGAAAATTCGAAGGAAATTGAAAGACATTTTGACTATTTAGTTTTCAGTCAGCGATTGTTGGTAAAACTCGAGACCCAACAGGAAACATTACAAGTGCTCTCTATCTAGAGTTAGATCAGAATTGCAACTGATTATGACATGATTTACCCCCCCCCCCCCAAACCACCACCACCACCACATTCCCCATGCTCCAGGCATAAATTTGGCACTTTGGCCACTAAAGTCACTAGATCTACTAGATCTAAAAATGGAAAGAAAATAGGCCTAATTATTCATCACCTGTCTTTATCCGAATTGCAATTTAATTTAGTAACATGTGACAGGAATAGAATCTAGAGTGATACAGTTAGAGGCTTTTAGACTAGCCTACAATAGGCTACACATGAAGCTACAGCGTGCACATAGCACACCTCAGTGTTTAGCCCGATGTATATCCGCCATCTATTTTTGTTGTCTTCCGGGACATCCCTCATGCTTTCCTCGCCATTTAACTAGATCTACCCGTATTAGCGCGCGATTGGCTACGTTTCTATGTTTCATCGCCGACTGCTTGGAGAGTAAGAACATATGCCGACACCAACATTTTTTAATCGGGCCACTGGAAGTGTGCTGTGTGTAGGCCTAGGCCTTGGCCTAGCAGCTGTGACGTCAGATGCACACAAGGCAGCTGGTGACCTTGATATACGACTTCGCCTCTCCAATTCTGACGTTTGTGTACGTGGAGGGGGGAGGGTGCGGGGATGCGGGCGGCGCTGATCGTGGTGTAAGACGCAAGACGCGAAGTCTATGACGTCACCTACTGGTGTCACTCCCAGTTCTCGTCACCCAGTACCGAGAAAGTGTCGACACTGGGTTTCGCTGGTACTGCCCGACACTACTGTGCACACGCTTGTGTGTGTGTGTGTGTGCGCGCACGCGTTTGTGTGTTTGTGTGTGTGTGTGTGTTCAACTTTGAGGAGAAGGTAAATTTTTGGAACGAGAATTGCTGAGAGTTTATAAAAGATAACACAAATTAATACCAAAAAAACCCCCCAGACTCGGCGAGATCTAGCCAACAGTTCCTGGCGAGGGAAACCCAACCGGAAGATGTCAAATATAGATCATGGAGGAAATACGTCATATATATCTATATTTGGGCCAATCTCTAAGTGAGAGTCTGATTTTACTAAAGTTGAAGAAACGTATAAATTTAAGACTTTTTGAAAGGCAGGCGGAATGAAAATGAAAGTTCTAAGGCTGTTTGATGCCACAGGAGGTGTATGGCCAAGAAGGAGAAGGTTTCGGGTGGCTTTTTCTCCAGCTAAAGAGCTCATTTTCCACAATGTCTTGACACTTGTAATTTTGGTTCACCAAGGTGCTATTTGAATTTAAACTGAAGGAACACCGAAACTTAATTTCAAAATCTAGCCTTCTAGACTAGCCGTACTTTGGTTAGGCCCTATTGACTGAAACCTGTTGAGTTGATTACACAGGTCTCGTTAATAGTAGTTATTCATGTTTAAAATACATATGCATGTCTGTTGAGTAAGGCACCTTTTGTTTTCGTCTCAAATACAAATACGTGGTATTGCAAACTAAAAAGTTATATAATTCAGTATTTTTTGCCGTTTGTCAGCCTAACCATCATTATTAAGCGTGGCTAGCCTAGCCGTCTAGCCGTCATTATTATGGCTGACCTCTTCTATTTTTAATTCATTGTCGTTTTGATTTTAGTGTAATTTAGCATTCTCTATTTTGAAATATACTGGACTGAACTGATCTGGTCTGGATAAGAGTCGAATTCTCATGGTGTTTTCTTTTAATTGAAGGTAGCTGTGTATGCAGATTTTTTTACAGTTTTAAGCAGTTGACTTTCCTACTACTGTCGATCAGAGAGAAACTTTTGACAAGTTTGGAGGGGCTCTTACGTTGAGGCTGATTATGCTAAAGTTCGGATTAATGAATATGTGCTTTCTTTCCTCAATAAGATCCTGTTTTGTTACCAGGGGCCCGGACGTTTATTTAGTCTTGATTCCTGCAACATATGTCTAAAGGGGTTCCTCTTTCTGTCTTGCACACGTTTGAATCGGGAAATACATTTGTCAGTTGATTCAGTCAAGAGGGTGAGAGCATTCCTTTAACAAAAAATCCTGCATTCGTTGTTTAGAAGCTGGAACAGTACTCAAAGTTGTGTCTTAAAAACATTTCTTTTAAAATTCAAACATCTTACCATCGAGGCTCAAGAGGCTAATTTAATGCAACTAACTTTATGAGAGAGGATTGGAATTTATTTCTAGTCTAACGTGCGATCTTTTTTATAATTATGGACACTGAAAACATTTTTTTTTCAGTGGAACTTGACTTCACATTGTAAAGTGTGTTGCTTTTTGCTATGTTTATAATTTATAGATTGTTCGAAGTGTAATTCATTATAGTGAAGGAAATTCTTCCTGTGTGTTTTGTTTTAATAGCATATTTCCTTCTATTTTTCAGGTGCTGATTTGAATTCTGTGTTGCTGAAGTATAAGAAGCTGGCTTGTAAATGGCATCCGGAAAATGAGAGTGAAAAACACTCCTCAGAATCCCTCAAGGTGAATTCTTTTTTTTGACGATTTGTGAATGAAGTGAATCAAAACCTCTTAATCTGAAAATTTAGTGTATACATTACAGTTTTTATATCATTTTTATGACTGCAGAAATATATTTTACAGTTTAGTAAGGTCAAGATGCCTTTATAGTTTATAAAAAATCTGATTGAAAAAAATAATGTGGGACAAATTTGTATATATTTGTTAACATTTTCCACCCTCGCAGCGTGCAGCGCGCACCACTTATCCCCACGGACCAGATACAGGTGCGGTACACGCTATATCACACTGGCGCTGATCGGCGTCCCGTGGGGAAAAGGGACTTCTTCTTACCTTCGCCAATGGGCGTCCCGTGGGGGCAAAGTGTTAAGCTTATCTTATTTTATATGATGAAGTAATAAAATGTCACCATTTACTGTGTGAGATTGAACTCTTTTAAACCCCATCGGACTCTGGTCTGATACTAGTGACAAGTGTTTCGTTTTATTTAGTGCTATTTTTCGGAACTATTCCCGAACTAAGTTTATATATATAAGTAATGACTAAGCCGTTGTTTCCACCGTTTACAAGTTGGAGGCAAGCTTTAGGGGTTATAATGAAATGTAGTGCACCAGGTTTAGGTGACTGTAGAAAGAACTCTGGAAAACGGTGGAAAAACCTCAGGGTTTTAAAGAGTTAAATTGTCAATTGTGCTTTAAAAGTCAGATTGGACTGATAAGGCTTTGATGGTGTGTGTGTGGGAGAGGGTGGGGGGGAGGGTAAACTACTTGAATCTGGAACCTTTTTCCATTGTATTTTAATGGATCCTTAAACACTCATGCTTGTGTGGATGTTAACATTCTCAAAGAGTGATAGAAATTGGTTAAAAAAATTCTGTGACTCTGTATTTTCAGTATATATAACTGAATTTGACATCAGACTCTTACAACTGTGAAGGATGTTTAGCTCCTTATCTCTGGCAAGCTTCTCTTAGCGGCTTGTTGTGAGAATCGCTGTGATCGTGAGCTGCTGGCAGGGGCTCAAGCACATACATTCCTTTACGATGACTTCAATGTCAAATTACTTTACGGCACGGAATTTGCCGAAAACAGATCTCTTTTACCAGGAGTTCATTCATTAGATGAAGAACTATCAAAATAGGTTCACTTGTTTTGATTTAATGACCCGTTTAGTGACTTTTTTGTTAATTTTAGATTTAGTACCAAAAAAGAGCTCCGGCGTAGTGGGTTTACCTCCATCAGAGAATAAATGTTAAATTTGAATTGAACATTACTCCTTGATATAGGCTCGTTTCACATTGAAAGTTGATGTTCTTTTCTGCTCGGCATTTCTGTTAGCTCTGTATTGTCCTTTTAAAAAGAATTAGTTCCTAAGTGTGTGAATTTATAAATTTAAAAGCTTTTTTTGCTTGTTCATTCCTTTCCTAAAGAAATTCAAGCAAGTCACAATGGCCTATAAAAGGTTGACAACAAAAGATTTCAAGCAAGATTTATCCCTGGTAAGATTTGACTTTATTTATTTTTTCTTTTGTGTATAACTTTTAAAATTAACAAGTATAATTATTCATTATTTAATAGTACATGCCATATTAAAGAGGTTATTATATTTTCAATTGTTTTTAATCCTATCCCTTTAACCAAATTTGTCATTTTAAAAATCCCATCTGAAATGGTCTTTAAAAACATCTCATGTCTTATGTATTACTTATCTGATCCTGTAAAAGTTAAACACACTCTTACATTAAAAGCCCAAAGATGTTACAAAATGCACTTCGATCGTGCTTGGTATACAAGCAATCCAGAAACTATTAATATTTTTGGAGTCTCAGTTTTCACAGTTTGTTTGTTGATTACCTATCTTTTAACAAAGTGAAGATTTAGTAAGAGATTTATGGATTTTACTTGTAATTATAATATATATGGCTCTTTTCGTCTATGCAGACGGTCAATTTAGTTTACGATGGTCTTTAAGGTTGTCTTCTTGCAGCTTCTTTCATGGCTAATTCTTCCTATGTTTGAAGCGCAGATTCTGTTGCAGTGCTTGCATGTCAGTGATGTGGATCGGAGCTCTGTACTTCCGCTGTTTTCCTTTCGTCGTTGGTGCTTCTCAGGCTGGTTGTTTCTAAGGCTGCTCTCTAGCATTATAGTTCTTTCCTTTATCATTTTCCTCCATGTTTTCCTGTCCCCAGCTATTTCTTCCCAGATGCCAACGTCTACTCCAAGCTTAGATAAGCTGTATTACTTGTAATACACGACAGTGAAATGAACGCTGTTGCAAATGCCAATTATTGAAAGAATGAAGTTTATAATATTTGTTCTTTTCTTGTTTTATTTTGCAGACAGACTGCTTATCCATGTTCAGAGATGTTGTTTCCTTCAGAAATGGTATGTTTTAGTAGTCACAGTTTTCTTAATTGCTGTTTTATGGTATGCCTCATGACAAAAATGGTTAAGTTTATCAGATTGATTACAAATGGTAAGTACATCATTGTAATCTTATGACGAACGTGTCAGTTGTGGCATCAGTGGGCTTGTGGTTAGGCTGTCGAACTCACTACCGTAAGTTCGTGGGTTCGAATCCCTCCAGGGGCCCAATGTTGTGTCCTTAAGAAAAGCGCTTTACATGAATTTTCCTCACTTCACCCAGATGGGAATGGGCACCCTATTATAGACAGCAAAAGATCTTGTCAGTTTGTTAGTGTTGGAGTGTTTAATCAGCTGCTTTCACTGTATGCTTCCCGAGAAGCCGAAAATGTCTACAAATGTTCTATAGGGGTAATAATAATATAGCGTTAAGCGCGTAGAGCTTGCTGTCGAGCAGGAATATAATGCGCTACACAAGTGCTTTTTAAAAATTATTATCAATATTATAACGTATATGCTTGTCTCCCAACTCACTAGTGTTACTGCTTCCTATGGTCCCTTCATTCCAGCATTCTCCTATTTCTTCACCAGTGACCAACGGGTCCAAGTATGCCTCCTCAGACTCCAGTGATGAGAACAACTCGGAGGAGGAGTGCTCTTCCGACTCTGACGACAACTCCCCAGTCAACAACAAAGCCAGAGACAAAGGTACTGGAGACCAGGTTTTTTTTCCATCTCCATTTTAAAAGAAATCTACAGTTCAGCTCGTTCACGAGATGACAAAAGGGACTCTTCTGCATTGGAATACATGGCATTGGGCGATTCAAATTGTGAATTCAAAATTTTCTCCAAAAAAGAAATGATAAAAAAACAACAAACCAGAGCTCATGGAAATATTGCAGTGTTCAGTATGGGATTTGGGGGGGGGGGGGGCTGCTGGCTTGATAAGTATGAGGTTACTTTTCCTGGGGGGAGGGGCGCAAAGAAGAAGGGTTACTTTTCCTGGGGGGAGGGGGAGGGGTGGGGTGGGGGGTTGTTCTTTCAAGTTAAAAGAAAGAAAGAAAGACACTTAAGCACAAAAGTTTATTTGGTGGTGTAAAGAAAGTGTCAGAAACGCCAGAGGCATCCTTAAAGTGTAGGACCTACAGATGTAGTTGGAGATTCCCTTAATTTGTGAGGAGTTTGAGTGTTTTCATTCTAACTTGAAAGATTCCTTTTCTGAACTAGGATCTTTTCCTTCCAATTTAAAAGATCTTTTTCCTGAACCTACCTAGAGTCAATCGGGCTTAAATGACTTTTGCCATCCACTACAGCCCAGATAATGTTATTGCTCGGTTTCCAAGCTTAGAATGAATAGTTTCCTTAGTTAAATACTGCATACTATGTAACTTCTTTGGGCTTTCCGAATTCTTTAATGTCTGCACCATTTTCTTAAAGTGGATTCAGTTTGTAAATTTTCTGTTGTTTGGAGAATGTCCTTGACTTTGTCTAAGAAGCAGAGGTATTTGTATATCCTGTTTTTTTCTAAAAACGAAATCTGAAATCTCCCCAATAGGGAATATGAAATTGTTGAAGATAACACCACTCGAACCTGCTCAAACAACCGCATGTCCAAGACAATCACCTGCACAAACGGCTTCTTCCAACTCCCCTCCTTGCATTTTTTTCTCTATATGTGAGGCAGCGTGGTGGAATCAGGCTCTCGTCAATTTTTGGGCATGTAGAGATATTGGGATCACCTTAAAGCTTATTCACTTGTCTTTATGTGGGTGAAAAAAATATCCCTTTATCTTGAATACAAGTCGAGATATTTGCGAATGAAGGAGGTGGGGTCACCTGTTTTCAGAGGTAGAATTAGTGAGAAAATGGCCGCCAGAGATTAGTTATTTCCTTAGCTTCAAGAGTGCGTGGTAGCTGAAAATTTACATTTTTTGTGCCTTTAATCAACCCTTTTCAGAAAAAGCCATACAGAAATGAGTTCTTTAATGGGCATGAAAGGTGTGGAGCTTAAAAACAAAAATTTGAAAAAAATTCACGAACATGTGGAAAAATGCAAGTTTCTTTACTTTGATTATTTTGACGAGAGCCTGATTCCACCACGCTGCCTCACATATAATAATGACACTGTCCAAGATGTCTGCCTGTCTAAGACAACCACTTTTGTCTTACACAATGGGTGGCCCCCGTAAACAATTCTCATTGAAGTTCATTTGATCTCTCAAGGTGATTACGGATTTGAAATGGAAAAAAAAAATTCTTCCTGATTTTCTTGTTTTTGTCGCAGTTGTTACTTTATGCTTATCTTTTTTGGGATTCTGCAGATTACAGTTCGTCACAGGCAAACTCAGTGGTAAGTGAAGACCCACTTTTAGACGATAGAAATTTAAACAATGGATTTATTGTTCATGTTGATAACCCTTCTTTTGTGCTCTTCAAGAACTCTATAAATGTATAAATGTATAAATGTATAAATGGCACTGTGGAAGGCTCACTTCTCAATCTCCTGTAAGATTACTGTTAGTCCTAATTCCGTCTTGTGTGGATATTGAAACATTTCTATTTTTTACACACTGCATATTTTAGACAATAATTTCTAGAATCCTCCCCCCCCCACCCTCCCATCTACCACCAACACTCTTTACCCCTGTCCCCCATCCAAACTTAGGAAAAGGGGGGGGTGGGGGGGTGGGGTTGTTTATGGACCTCATTGGTTTCATCAGGAGGTTATTTATTGGGAAGCTTTTTCTGGATTTTTTCCTTAAGTTAACTTGTAAAATAATGCTGTATGTATTTGTTTCTTTAGTGAATTCACGATGTTGTCTTGAAAACAGTGTGCTAAATCTGAATTATTTTGCTGTTTTCTCTCAGTCTATACCAAATTCAGATATAACAGAAGAGGAGAGAGAAAGGCGTCGAGCTGAGAAGAGAAGAGCCAAGAAAAAGGTATTTCATTTTGATGCAAATGTTTTTGAACCATAAGAATGCACTTTCTTACCTCTTTGAGCCCTCCCTTGCCATCTGTACACCAGTGAGCGAGACCCCCATCCCCAACCCGGCTCGCCTGAGATAAAACACATTCGGAAAACAGCTTTTACTACACGAGGCGTTACTGATTATTTTGAAGAACTTTCTGAATTAGATGCTATTAACGACAAAGGCTACCCTTAGAGGGATTCGGAATATGATTCTGACAATCATATGAATGTTAATGATATACTGCTCAGGAGCTCAGGCAGAGGGGCATGGTAGCCTCAGGAGGTCAGGGGCCAAAGGGTTAATGTTGAACTACACTTAAAGCATTCACTTGGTATCCCTCTAGGCTGTTCACTGGTGGATATGACATCCGTTAATATTGGTACAAGACTGTTGTCTGCTGTCTTTTTTATTTACTTTTATGCTAATTTTGAGAATTTTTTTTTGGGGGGGGAGGGGAGGGGGGATAGGGGCTTCTGTACTGTAAGTGGTGAAGACTAGTAGCTTGTCTCTCTCTTGCCCTTTTCAACTCCCAGTGGAGCACAGGCCGTCAACAGCACTACTCCAGCGAAGCCTGTCCTGAGCATCCTTTTCTATCTGTTTCCATGATGTCCCCGCTTTTTCAATTTCCGCTTGTACCGCTCGTCTCCATGTCATCTTTGGTCTTCCCTTCTTATGCTTTCCTTGTAGGTTCCACTTGTGGCATAGGTAATCTAGTTGTTAGGCTTGTAATAGTTTGTGGGTTCAGGGGTCCAAGGCTCATCTAACACAAATAATGCCGTTTGGGTCGCCTTTATTAGTGATAGACCTTAGATTCCGAGGTTCTGTCTCTTAAATAACCTTTCAGTGTTGCAAGGGGCATTAAACCCTTTTTTTTTTTTTCTAGTGGCTTGCCTTCTTGAGGTCTTGATAGTTTGCCTTCTTGAGGTCTTGATAGTTTGCCTTCTTGAGGTCTTGACAGTTTGCCTTCTTGAGGTCTTGACAGTTTGCCTTCTTGAGGTCTTGATAGTTTGCCTTCTTGAGGTCTTGATAGTTTGCCTTCTTGAGGTCTTGATAGTTTGCCTTCTTGAGGTCTTGATAGTTTGCCTTCTTGAGGTCTTGACAGTTTGCCTTCTTGAGGTCTTGATAGTTTGCCTTCTTGAGGTCTTGACAGTTTGCCTTCTTGAGGTCTTGATAGTTTGCCTTCTTGAGGTCTTGACAGTTTGCCTTCTTGAGGTCTTGACAGTTTGCCTTCTTGAGGTCTTGATAGTTTGCCTTCTTGAGGTCTTGACAGTTATTGATTTTCAAAATCGAGTGAATGTGAAAATATATTTTTCTTACTGAATGTGGGTTTTTTTCAAAATTAAGTGAATGTGAAAAGTTATTTTTCTTACTGAATGTGTGTTTTTTTCCCCCTATTTTTATTTCATTTAACAGCGACAAAGAGAAAGAAAACGTTTGGAGAAAGAACAAAAATCCGTGAGTAAACACTTTACATGACAATTTTCTGAGTGAATTAAAGAGCTGTATCTATTTTATTTTTTTTTGCTTTTGGATTGAAGCTTTTTTTTAGTACTATTTTTGTTGGCAAATGGCCTATCTTTATTCTGTGTTCGAGAATACACAAAATGTTTTGTTGTTTTTGTGCACTTGATTTTGAGAAAAAGATTGTGAAAAATCTGTTCGAGGAATGTTTTTGTGACTGTTCTTTGTCTTCATGTTTCAGTGATGTCACAAACCTTAATCAAAATGCACCTGTCAACTCATGACATATTTTTCGTACGGGTGAAATGACTCTTACTCTTACGATAGGTTGGGAACTTGGACAGAAATCAGATTGATCTTTGTGGGTGGTTGGCGGGTGTGCTCTGGTGTTGTTTGCTCCCTCTTTCTTGTCAAACATCTATTGTTCGTCTGTAACCTCCTCCTTTTTTTATGTTTGTTATTCTTTTGTAACACCCCTAATCTTTGGCACTTATATGACCTTATTGTGTTGCAAGTGCCGTAAAACTCTCAACAAAAACTGAAGAATGATCTTTGTCCTCCAAAGTAATCCATGGTTACAGTATCCTCCTTTACAAAATCATCTTACTTCAGGTATATTGCACATTTTCAAAACTGTTTTATTACTTGTGTCTTTTTTCTTTTCACAACTTTTGTCTTTTTTTCTCTTTTAAAGAACTCTTCAAATAAAAAAGATGGCAGATCAACGTACGGTGATGACAAGTCTATATTACACGAGTAAGTACATGTTGTTTAAAATGTTTGTGAAGAGAAAATGCTCAGAATCTTATGATAAATTATTTTGGTAGGTTTAAGTGAAGGGTATAGATTGTGAAGCACATAGAGCTTGCTGTTGAGCAGGGATTTGCGCTATACAAAAGCTATTAAATTATTAACGCTTTGCCGTCACATCTCGCCGTGGATTTTCCCCAAAATGCCTTTGCCTTTGATGGCAAGGGTTTTTACTATATGAGCTTTGTGATGGCAAAGTGTTCAGGGTGGATTTTGATAAACTGAAAATAAAAGTTTATATTTGATAGCACTCGTATCATTCTTATTCATCCTTCACCTCAAAAAAGTAACCTACTGTATTTGTGTCTATGCTGTCTGGACTTCTATATGTTGACGTTTTATTTGTGTAAACAGAGCAGGGATTGACATTTCCTGTAAATTTATGGAAATCCATAATTCTGATTTGCTCCGTCATTTTCCGTAAGTGTACTTTCAATGGTGAGTCGTTCTACTATGTGTACTAATCTACAATTGAATAAGTGTATTTTTCCAAATCTGTAGAGCCCGCGAAATATTTAGTAAATTTTGGACTGATCAGTTTCCATCCTTAACCCCCCGGGGCAGTGCCACTGACTGAAGTGTCTTTAGGCCATTCCCAAAGGGGGGACATTTCTCGTTCAAGCATAGTTGAATTGTAAATGGGCTGACTCATGTCACGCTCATAACTGTGCCTGATCTACAACAGGGAACTGCTGTTTTTTCTTTCCTGATCCTTACTATTGTCATTTTCCTCTACTTCTTTTGTATGTTTGTCACTCTCTTGTGACCTGCTACTTACGGGGTGCCTTGATAGTTGAAGCAGACCTTGTGCTGTTGAAGCTAGAGAGGTGAGCAGTCTAAGTCTGATTCCCTGTAAAGACTTCTCGGTTGACACCCACCCCTTGGCACTCATATGACCTTATGCGGTTGCGAGCGCCGTAAAACCCTCTTCTATTAAAAAAAATAAATATATATATATATATATACATTCCTGAACAGAGGTGTTTGTAAGACTCTAGCAGAGTGTTCAGAAGCTGAAACAAAAAGCGTGGGTGGCAGTTTGATTCTGAGCAATTCTTTGCCCTAATAAAGTTTATTGAAGTTGTGGAATGTGAGACTGCGTGGTGGAATCAGGCTCTCGTCAAAATAATCAAAGTGAAGAAACTTGTATTTTTTTGCAGGTTTGTGAATTCTTATCAAATTTTTGTTTTTTGGCTTAACACCTTTCATGCCCGTTAAAGAACTCGTTTAGGTGTGGATTTTTCTGAAAAACGCTGATTAAAGGTACAATAAATGTAAGCTTTCAGTTGCCAAGGACTCTTAAGCTAAGGAAATAACTAATCTTTGGCGGCTATTTTCTCACTAATTTTACCTCTGAAAACAGGTGACCCCACCTCATTCATTCGCAAATATCTCGCCTTGTATTCAAGATAAATGGATATTTTTTTCATTCAAATAAAGACAAATCAACAAGCTTTAAGATGGTACCAATAACTCTACATGCCCAAAAAATTGACGAGAGCCTGATTCCACCACGCTGTCTCACAAATAGTTACAGGATGCTTGTGATTTTGCAGTAGTTATTGTTTCCTGCTGGGCAAAGATCTGAACCCTAGACTTTGTTTGAGAGGGGAAAGGGGATGTTATGCATTGTGCTTTTCCAGATGTTGTAGTGTTCATGCTGTGAGGGGGGAGAGAGAATGATTAAGTGTACTTTTTTTTTTTTTTTTTAAATTTGTTAGGGCAATGCAAGTTGTATCAATTCTATTGAAAAGTGTGTGAAGTCACTTTCTCTGTCGGTATTACGATCTTTGACTGATAAGAATAGTACGATTTACTGTCTTGAGCCTGCTTTTAGTGTTTACTATTGACTCGGGAGGTTCATGATGATTCAGTACTTTCATATTTACTGTTGTGGTTTATGTTCGATGTTTTTGCTTTTAATTTGCCGACTGTCGAGTTTTATCATTGAGTTTTATCATTGGCTGAGGGCTAGAGGTGAATATGTACTCTTTCTTTGTTTTCAGAAAAACGGATTTTTAAGGACAGTTGTAATAGGCGATTTTTGGACATAAACACATCAGGAATTGAGATTGGGGGAAACTACAGAACCGATTGGTTTGATATTTACAGACATGGTGCAATGTCGTTTGAATGCTTCAATTGTATTAATTTTGCCATTTTGGCCACAATGGGCATGGTCCCTTTTTGGTGGTCTTTCAATGTTCCTCACCACAAGCTAAACTCAGCATGTTTATCTTTACTTGCAGGGATTCAAATTCCGGTGATGACACAGTGAGTTTCCTTTTTTTCATAATCAGTGTTATTTCTTTCTAAACTAGCGGTTCTTAACCAGCAAGTCTCTCTCACACATATTTGCCCACCGGTATGATGTAAAAAACATAGGTGAGGCAGCGTGGTGGAATCAGGCTCTCGTCAAAATAATAAAAGTGAAGAAACTTGCATTTTTCCACAGGTTTGTGAATTTTTTTCAAATTTTTGTTTTTTGACTCAGCACCTTTCATGCCCATTAAAGAACTCATGTCTGTATGCATTTTTCTGAAAAAAGTTGATTAAAGGCACAAAAAATGTAAATTTTCAGTTACCACGGGCTCTTAAGCTAAGGATATAATTAATCTTTGGCGGCCATTTTCTCACTAATCTTATCTCTGAAAACAGGTTACCCCCACCACCTTCATTCGCAAATATCTCGACTTGTATTCAAGAGAAGTGAATATTTTTTTCACCCAAGTAAAGACAAATGAACAAGCTTTAATATGATACCATAACGAATGCCCAAAAATTGATGAGATCCTGATTCCACCACGCTGCCTCACATATTTAGTGTGTTTGTGAAGGTCTGAATACGAAAGTTCATTTTTGTATAGAAAAATATTTTTCTCTATTTTCAGTATGGGTCCTCACAGACTTGCGGTTTCTAAAAAAAAATTATGAATTTTCAAGACCTGACTTGTGAGCAAAGATGAAAACGAAGCCTATTTATAGTGGGTTGTTCACGGGTGCTCTGTTGTGATTTGTGCCTTCTTTCATATCAAACGTGGGTGGTTGGCGGGTGCTCTGGTGTGGTTTGCTCCTTCTTTCCTATCAAACATCTATCGTCCTTATCTCCCCTCCTTCTTTTTTATGTTTGTTACTCTCTTGTAACACATATAATCTTCTGGCGCTCTTATGACCTTATGCAGTTGCGAGCACGGTAAAACCTCTACTAAAACTAAAACTAAAACTTTCTTATCAAACAACCATTGCCTTAGTTTTACCGCCTCTTTTCTGTGAATTTTACTCTCTTTTAACACTTTTAAATCTGAAGCACTTATAATTACCCTCTAATCTTTTAATCTTTAGCACTTATAATTACCCACTAATCTTTTAAATCTCTAGCACTTATAATTACCCACTAATCTTTTAAATCTTTAGCACTTATAATTACCTCTATGTGTGGCAAGTGCTCTTACTAAAAGTAATCTGAGGGGCATTGTCATTTTATGATGTCTGATAGACATCTTTGGTAGCTGGGGGAAAGTACATATTTTTGTTGGAATTAGTAATGTATTGTTTTGTTCTATTTCAAACCTTTTGGTTTTTGTTTGTTTTTTTCCCTTCCAGGTATTTGATCCCACATCAGCATTTTTCACTAAGGTTGTCAGTAAAAAGAAGAAAAACGGGCACGTCCCGGATCATTCCCACAATCACAAAGGCCATGAAAAAGATGACGAGGTAAGAACTTTGTTTCGTAGTATGGTGTCGAAGTGGTAGCTTTTGCCTCACCCTTAAAGGAAAAAAATAAATCACAGAAACTGCTGTACAGAAAAGTGGGAAGACATGGGATAACATCAAGTGGCTAGCTAGCACAAGGTTAGAAGAAGGTGGAAAGAGTTTGTTGGTGGCCTGTACCCTGGTGTGGGGTGAGAAAGGCAATGATGATGATGATGAAGGAAAAATCTGGCTGACCTCGACTTAAGCGGAACACAAAGAGAACGCTTACTTGCGATAAAAGCGAGCGAGTTGGGACATGCGCGTGAAATGTTACTCAAAAGTTGCTTGTTGCGCACAAAAAGCACGCTCGCTTTATGGCGCCTGAGATTTCAAGCGACGCTTGAAAAGCCGTAAAGAATCAAAAGTTTGTTCTTTCTCGCTTTCCAGCGTGTACTTGGTGCCGCCCCCCCATTGTTGTCTGACTGTCTGGTCATGACTTGGGTGGTTCAGAATGTATTTTCTCTCAGTCTCAGTGACAAAGGCACCAAAATGGATGTCTAGTCTTTGGTATCAGCCGTGTTTAAAAACCTGCAATTTGGTACGAGAGAAGGAAAAACCACCCAGATATACTTGAATGTCTCTTGGCTCATTCTCAGGTAGGACTGAAAACGAGAAGGGCTTCTTTTAAGTAAAGGAAACAAATGGTGATATTCACCTTCCACTCTTCTCCTTTTATTTATCTGATGAAACCCCCTTCTTTTGCGTTTTCCTAGGATAATTTTTGGCAAAACACTGTCTAGCAACAACAGTTTGTCTTCACTCGAATCCGCCATGGCGCCAAATGCCCAAGTTCTTACCAGTTCACAAGCGCGATTTGCAATCTTTCTCTGTGTATACCTCAATGACAAGCAAACGCTTTCTTCACAAGCGCTCCCGCTCGCTTTTATCGCGAGCAAGCGTTCTCTTTGTGCGTTCCTTTAGTCTGAAGAATCGGATATGGCTGTGGCAAATTGGGTTGGTCACTGCTGCATACTGTAGGACAGGGGGGGGGCTCTCGTGGCCTAGAGGTTAAGGTGTTGACCTCTCATTCAAAGGTCCCGGGTTTGAATCCGGGCTTCTACCGAAAAATTTTGTTTTCTAAAATTGTCTCGTTTCACCTCTTTTCCTGCTGTCTGACCATGTTCTGTCGTCTGCTTTTGTCTCTACTTTCTGCTCATACCCCCTCACCTCTTTGTCCCCTTCCTCTGGGCTCCTGACTCTTTCTGCAGCCTTTCTACGCTACTCACTGGCTCCTTCTTACTTCTGTCTTTCTGCCACACCACTGATCTTCTGGCAGGGAAGATCTACACCTAGCCTTCTCGGACTAGGGCAAAATATCTCGAAGGGCGCGTGTGCAAGTTTCGCACGTTTAAGATCCCTTGAGGGTCTAAAATCGATAAGAGTAGGCTTCGGCCGCCACCTGAGCAAAAATTCAAAATTTCCTACCAACTGAAAAAGTTGAATGTGTCCCGCGCTCTCATATGATCTTATGCAGTTGCGAGCGCCGTAAAACACTTACCACCCCCCCACCCCCCCAAAAAACCTGTAGGACAAGTGTCAACATTGTGGTTGATACATATTATGTCATTTTTTTTTTTTTTCAAATTTTGTTTAATATTTCTGGACGTATGTGCTATTACAAGGTCTGATTAGTTTGATATTAATGAAAAATCCACTTTAATGGCTGCCTGTCCAAGGCAATCACCTGTACAATTTGCCACTTCCCACTCCCCCCCCCCTCCCCCCTTGCGTTTCAAAAATATTATTATGACATTGTCCGAGAAGTCCACCTGATTAAAATAACTACGTTTTTTCCTCGACAATGGGTTGTCTTCGTAGACAATTTTGACTACTCCTTTTGGGAACCTGATTCCTCTTCCTATTAAATTATAAAGATTTTTGTTTTTTTCTGAACTTGGAAGGGAAAAAAGGATGTATTTGATAAGTTGGCCCAAATCTTTTATTTTTTACTTACAGGTTGAAGATATAGTAGATCCCAGAGTACTCAGAAGTAGACAACTTGCCGGTAAGTTTAATTGTTTCAGGTTTGAAAGGGTATTTAAAAAAAAATCATTCATGCCATCATCAATACGAGCTATTCAGTCGTTGTCAGAACGACATTATTTTGTATGTCCATCCAGTGACTATTTTTGTGTGTTTGTCTGTGTATGTAGGTGTGTTTGTGTGCGTGTATGTGTTTGTAGTTGCGTATGTGTGGGTTCGTGAATGTGTGGTTGTGTGTGCGCGTACTCGTGTGTGTGTCTGTTGATGAGTGTCTGTGCATGTATGTTTTTACCCTGCTACAGCAAATCCCTTTCAATGTAGATCAATAAATTGTTATCTTATCTTAGTTTTGTAGCAGATCGTCCAGTCTCTTCATCGTTGTCTTTCTGACTTGTTCCATTAATTTCTATTCTGCAACATTGTGTGGGTGGTAGGCGGGTGCTCTGGTGTGATTTGCTTCTTCTTCCCTATATCCAACATCTATTGTCCTTATCTCTCCTCCTTCTTTTTTGTGTTTGTTACTCTCTTGTGATACCCCGAATCTTTGGCACTCAATGTGAGCTTTTTGTGTTGCAAGTGCCAAAGTTCAGTTCCTCTGTTGTTCCATAAAGCTTTTTCTATAGTCTTCACGTCATTTAATGACCTCAAGTGTAATGCAGTTGAGAAGATGCAATAATTATTGTTGTTCTTTTTCTTCGTTCAGACAAATAAATTTTGTTCTATTGCAGTCCGTGGCAATGAAATGGCTCAAGTTGATCAATATACAGCTGCAATACAATTATTTACAGAAGCCATCAGTCTTGACCCAGTAGATTTTAGGTAAGATGTGCTCCGGAATGTCTTCGGAAACTTGTTAGATCCTAGCAACAAAAAAAAAAAGGTCGATCTTGTTGGGGCATTGCCCTAGCAGCGTTTGTGTTTGCTCTGTGTACATTGCTGTTTGTGTTAAAAAAATTTATTGAAAAAAAAAGTGAAGATGTTTTTACTACGCCCTCGTCGAAACAATTTAGATCATTCAGGAGGCATGCTTAAGAACCTGCCTATCAGGGCCAACCCAGGCTGAGAAGGACGTAAAATCTCAGCTTGAAGGAGGAGATTGACAGGAAAATGCAGTTGCGGTGTGGCCATTCGTTTTTGTACTGCTAATGTTAGACGTGACTGAAATTGTTTCTTTAACATTTTTAACATTTGATTTAACTGTTCATCTTAAAATCCCACAAATAAAGTTGTCCATTGTAGACATACATACAGGTAAAAAAAGTATACTAATGAATAACCCTATTATGCATTTTTCGATATCAAATTTTATGATTTGTCAAAACGTGAAGGGAAAGTAACTTTTGACGGAACACTGCGACAGAATCTATACATGTCATTTACTTGTTGGGACTCTTTTTTATTTCTTTCTTTTTCTTTCTTTCAGGTTCTTTGGAAACAGATCTTATTGTTATGACAGAACAAAACAGTACGATAAGTAAGTTCTCACCTCTTCTCTTTGCTTCTCATGTGCTTTTTTTTTGGCTCAGAATATTGGAGGTTTATGCGTGTAGTTATCTGTAGGTTTTGTTTGTGTCTTATTAGTTTGTCGTCAAGTAATGTCAGTGTTTTTAATGATAATTTAACCCCCCGGGGCAGTGCCACTGACTGTAGTGTCTTTAGGCCATTCCCAAAGGGGGGACATTTCTCGTTCAAGCACAGTAGAATTGTAAATGGGCTGATTCATCATGTCACGCTCATAACTGTGCCTGATCTGCAACAGGGAACTGCTGCTTTTTTTTTCCTATTCCCTACTATTGTCATTTTCCTCTATTTCTTTTGTATGTTTGTCACTCTTGTGATCTGCTATTTCCGGGGTGCCTTGATGGTGGAAGCAGACTTTGTGCTGTTGAAGCTAGAGAGGTGAGCAGAGTAAGTCTGATTCCCTGTAAAGACTTCTCTGTTGACACCCCCCTTTGCGCTCATATGACCTTATGCAGTTGCGAGCACCGTAAACCCTCTACTATAAAAAAAATATTTTTTTTTAATGATAATTTATAAATTAGTTTGGATCAGACTTAAAGTTTGGACTGGCTTCCCCAATCAGATTAAATTGCTTTTTCTACAGTGCCCATGAAAAGTTTCAGTTATTTTTATAGCTTTTGGCTAAAAAAAATGGTTTCCTTTGCCTCTACTACAGAAATCTGATTACTGTATTGTTTCCTTTGCATGTACAGAACTATGACATTTTCTTATGTGAGTAACCTACTGATAAATTTGTGTTTTTGATTGGTATTTGTGACGTGTGCTGACAAAATGAGTTGCTTCTCGGATTTCACCTTTATGGAAATTGATACATCAACTTGATAGGTGAAGTTTGTACAATTTGTGAGCATGGAATAGTAAAAGACACAGTAAACTTGAACAAAATGGCATCAATTGAAAATCTGTAATTCTGACCGCAGTGTTGATTTTCAGCCGATATCTCCATTCTGGGATCGTGAGAAGTAACTCATTTTGTCAGCACATCTCACATTTGATTTTGAGCCCAGTAAATTAAGTCTAGTGTGTTGATTTAACTGTCTTTGTTAGGCGACACTCAAATTGATCTATTATAAAGATTTCATTTGTAAACTTGTGTTTTTCATTACACAGAGCATTGAGAGATGCAGAAAAAGCCATTCACCTTGATAAAGACTGGCCCAAAGGTTATTTTAGAAAAGGTCGTGCATTAGCAGGATTAAAAGTAAGTTGGAAGTTTATTTTACTCCTGCAAACCATTTAAAAACCTGTATACTGTTATGAAATAGTCATGTTTGAAATCTCTCTTTTCCTGAATTTATTTTATAAGCTTTTTTTTTAACGATATAAGAGTAAATTTTAAAATTTTATTACAAATAAAGGCATCGCACATATAAAGTTGCTTGTTGCAGTCGCATAGATTCTACTAAGAGATAGGAAAAATAAGCATTCTACTCTACTCATGCATTATTAGGCACTTCAAGTGGTTTTTTTTTGGTGGTATTTGATTTCTCTGCCCTGTGAGAGTGATGGTTTGTGTGTTTGTGCTTGAGCGTTTTGCCCTTTGTGGAACAGCTGTTTGATGAAGGTTAAAGAATAAAGTTTTTGAGTGGGGAACAGTTCTAAGCTAATCTGAGGTACAGGAGAGGACAGTTTCTTTCCAGAGGTTTATCTGTTTTTCCAGATAAATTTAAAAAATGTAATTTCAGAATTTGTTACGATTTTGTAATATTCTTTCTTTTATGCTGAAAATTTACTTTTACGTTTTCATCCCTTGTTAACGTGTCATATTGCACCTTATATTAATGTGGGTAGTTGGAGGGCGTCACTGGTAGGTCGTACGTCTTTATTTTCCCCTCTGTTGTTTCTGTTTGTCTGTCTGACTTTTTCCCACGACTAAATGAATATTCATGTGTTGTTGTGCTTCTCTTTACTTGAACAAACAAACAAACAAACAAACAGACAAACAAACTTTATATTAAATTGTCTTACTTCAAGATATATTAGACTACTGTATGTGGGTGGTTGGTGGGTGCTCTGGTGTGGTTTGCTTCTTCTTTCCTTTGAAACATCTATAGTCCTTATCTCCCCTTCTTCTTTTTTTTTTACCTCTTATAACACCTCTAATCTTCTATCCCGAGGCAATGCCACTGACTGTAGTGGCTTTAGGCCATTCCCATAGGGAGGACATTTCTCCTTCAAGCATAGTAGAATTGTAAATGGGCTGACTCATGTCACGCTCATAACTCATGCCTGATCTACAACAGGGAACTGCTGCTTTTTCTTTCCTGATCCTTACTATTGTCATTTTCCTCTACTTCTTTTGTATGTTTGCCCAGGGGCGAAGGCTGACTTGTTTGACAGGGTAATCAAAGTGAAACGGGACTTATAGATATGGCCTGTAGATATCACACAAGAATCTTACTCGAGGTGGCGACTCTGAGTTGTGAATGAAAACAAATCCGGAATTCATATTGTATGTTCAACCGCCAAAATAATCGGGAAAGTATCTTATTAAATATCAGTTCCAACTAAAATTAAATGTAACTTTAGATGTGAATCATAAACACAAAGCAAAGAAGCAGAGATGTCAGTACTAGATCTATATGTTATAGATCTACCAGTAAGTCTAACTCTTTGGTAGAACATGACAATTATCATTTTTTAAATTTCACATTTGACTGTTTTTGTTAGCCTTTCACGGCCAGGAGCTGGTGTCATAATCGAGGTCACGATCTGATTATAGGACGGTAAAAAGTCGAGGAAAAAAAACAAGCACACGCAGCAGTCAAGAGATTATTAGGAGTTAGTTCCCCTCACATTTGTGAGGTAGACTCGACCAGCGTTAGTTGGCATAAATAATCAGGGCTTGAGATTGATTATAACTGTGGCCCCAAAGGGGTGAACAGGGTATATGTGGCAATGAAACAGCTTGGACTGCTATGCACATGTTCCCTCCAACTCTATTGATAGACTCTTCCAGCCTCACTTTAAGCTTACTTAATCAAAGCTTGCGACTGCTTATGGAGTGGCCCGAGAGGGGTGAGGAGGCTATTTCCGTGGCCGTGAAACCGTTTTGAATGTTAGGCATACTGTTCATTGTTGATTACGAACGTCTTTATACATTTAATTTAAGAGGTTTACGTTTAAGGATGAATTTGACAGCGACAATGTTTCAAAATTAGGAAGGGAAGCAGTGATTATTTGATTATATAGATGCTTCGCCCCTGTGTTTGCCCCTCTCTTGTGACCTGCTATTTCCGGGGTGCCTTGATAGTCGAAGCAGACTTTGTGCTGTTGAAGCTAGAGAGGTGAACAGTCTAAGTCTGATTCCCTGTAAAGACTTCTCTGTTGACACCCACCCCTTGGGGCTCATATGACCTTATGCAGTTGCAAGCAGTTTGTTTGAAGTTTCACTGTCTGACAGTCTTGTCATTCCTGAATGTTCCAGATGTTTAGTGATGCAGAAAAAGCCTTTATGCAAGTACTTAAGCTTGATAAAAACTGTGATGATGCTGTGACAGAGCTCTTAGAAGTGAGGACACATCTTCTTATGGTAAGCTGAGGGGAACAGTACCATTTTTGTTTGATTTGATGGTTTCCTTTGAAATTTATGATTTGCAGTATCTTATAGAATGTGGTGTGATATGAAAATGATAAATAATGATTTAATTTATTTAGCAGATATCCACACTCTACAGCATGCTCTATATACTTTACAACCATTATGGAAATACTTAATTGCTTTAAGGCTAAAACAGCACCTGGGCATGGATGGCTGGTGCCTCTATAAATAAATCATTGATGGTCAGGTCAGACTTAATTGCTTTACCTCAGTTTGAACAAATTAGCGCATTTAACAGCTCAGAGTATACTTGCTGATTTCTTATGATGATATCTGAGCTGTCAGAGAACATTTTTTTCACTTGGGGGAAAAGATGCTTTAGTTTAGTCTTTGAAAGAATGAAGCATAATAATGGTGATGAATTTTATCCTAAATAGTAAATACTAACATTGACAAACACATTATAATTTATTCATGGCAGCAAATATGTGATGCAGCGTGGTGGAATCAGGCTCTCGTCAATTTTTGGGCATGTAGAGTTTTTGGTATCATCGTAAAGCTTTTTCACTTGTCTTTATTTGGATGAAAAAATATCCATTTATCTTGAATACAAGTCGAGATATTTGCGAAAGAAGGAGGTGGGGGTCACATGTTTTCAGAGGAAAATTGGTGAGAAAATGGCATCCAAAGATTAGTTATTTCCTTAGCTTAAGAGTCCGTGGTAACTGAAAATTTACATTTTTTGTGCCTTTAATCAACGTTTTTCAGAAAAATCCGCACAGAAATGAGTTGTTTTATGGGCATGAAAGGTGTTGAACCAAAAAACAAAAAGTTGACAAAAATTCACAAACCTGCGGAAAAATGCAAGTTTCTTCACTTTGATTATTTTGACGAGAGCCTGATTTCACCACGCTGCCTCACATATTGCTCTGTCTGTCGTTTTGACTCGTCTAAGAGAAAGAAAACTCGGTAATGTTTGGTAGAACTAACATTATGAGACACATTTTTGAAACTCAATGGAAACACTCGCCAACTAAAAAAATAAGGGACACAGGACAAAATTAAAACAAACAGAAGAAGTGGGTGGTTGGTGGGTGCTCTGGTGTGGTTTGCTCCTTCTTTTCTAACAAACATGAATTGTCTTTATCTCTCTTCTGTATTTTTAAAATGGTTGTTACTCTATTGTATCGCCTCTAATCTTCGACACTTATATGATCTAATTGTGTCGCAAGTGCTTTAAAAATTTTATTTTAAAAAAAAAAAGAAAAATTAGCTGAAAAAATTCACATGACTTTAGGGGTGAGAATGTTGGCTAAATTTGGTTTATCATTGTTCTCTCCCCTGTTGTGCTCGCCTGCGCCCCTGGACCCTTCCCACTTCTGGACCCCTCCCACCCCTGGTTTGTCTGCTGCCACAGGATATGGGGTTCTCGAAATCGCGATCTGAAGCAGCAATTAAAAAACACGACTCTGTCCAAGCGGCCTTAGATTCTCTCCTAACTGGATGCGGTGAGTGAGACTTGTGGATTTTTTTTCTGTTGTTCATTTACGTCTGCTTTTATGTTTCAACCTTGTTCACTAAGTTTGTCGTATGGATAGATTTCTGGTCGGACCTGATTGTATTGTGTTATAGATCTACAACAGGGAACTGCTGCTTTTTCTTTCCTAATCCTTACTATTGTCATTTCCTCTACTTGTTTTGTATGTTTGTCACTCTCTTGTGACGTGGGGTGCCTTGATAGTCGAAGCAGACCTTGTGCTGTTGAAGCTAGAGAGGTGAGCAGTCTAAGTCTGATTCCCTGTAAAGACGTCTCTGTTGACACCCACCCCTTGGCGCTTATATGACCTTATGCAGTTGCGAGCGCCGTAAAACCCTCTACTATAAAAACCCCCCCCAAAAATGTAGGTAGGTTCTGGGTGAAAAAAAAATCAGTAACACATGTTTTCATTTAGGTTTTTATTAGATATGAATTTTATGTATAGAAGGCAGTATTTCATATTTTCGTTATACTCTTTAGATTTAAAAATTATGATGTGAAGAAATAAATGTAATCTTTTTACCTATCGGGTAGCTGTGAAGATAACTAATTGTTGCCATTTGTCTGTTCCTGTGTTCACTTCAAATCTTGATGTTCTTCACTGCGTTTTTCTCTTGCCAGTTGATAGCTCAGTGAGTGATTTGTATATATCCGACGATGAAAACGAAGGCTTTAGCGTCCATCGGCCTGCCCCAATCCCTCCTCCAACATCACACCCAACAGATGTGAAAATGGAGTAAGTTTTTCTTTTCTTTTCTGTATCACTATATTACTTGCTGTGTTGGTTATAAGTTGTGTTGAGGGAATGAGGATTCTTTTTTAATTTGGAATTTCTTGTGTGCTTTTTTGATAATGACTGTTTGAAAATTAATTTTGCGAAAAGCTTTGGTAATCTAAAAGATGGGAGGTTCTTTAATCGTTTTATAGAGTAACTTGTATGCTTTGCCAAGACTAGTTTTGCAAATGTACGAAACTGTCTAGCAATACAGTTTTTATCTTTGCAAGAAAGTGAGCCTTTAACTAAATTAATAATTACTAAAGTTGCAGTATAGTCTAACCTGTCTATAATGGTCACTCAAGATCATAGAGTAAAGTGACCGTTATAGGCAGTGGTCGCTGTGGACAAGGTCCGAGTCAGGGTCACTTACTAGATTTGACAGGCAAAAATACCCAGAAGGCCACCCTTTGTCATGGAGAAAAGTGTTTGTCTTAGGAAGATTGACATCTTGGACAGTGTCATGATAAGATAAAGAGAAAAAGCTTGAGGGGGCAGTGGGAAGTGGCTGTTTGTACAGGTGATTCTCTTGGACGGGTGGCCATTGGCTGTTTGTACAGGTGATTGTCTTGGACAGGTAGCCATTGGCTGTTTGTACAGGTGATTCTCTTGGACAGGTGGCCATTGGCTGTTTGTACAGGTGATTCTCTTGGACAGGTGGCCATTAGTGCTTTGTCTGTACTTGTGTATATAAGTATGTGTCTAATGTCGCTGTTGCTTTGTCTGTACTTGTGTA